CTCGGCAAGCGCGGGTCCCTCCTCATCATGAACACAGTCCCCAGGACATCGCCCCGACATCGACACCGCGTCTGTCGGCCCACCCATCGGTGACGTCCTCCGTCCCACTGATGGCTTATCTCGCATCGACAAATCGTCTGCCTTCCCCCTCTCCGGTGACGTCCCCTTCACCGGACGACTCCCAGGCGTCGCAAACGCCTCCCACTGCCTCATGCTCCTCTACCCTTCTTCCAAACCCATCCACTGTCACCTTCTCCGATGTTGTTGAGGATCAAGCTCGGCACGGTCGGCTTGTCCGCTTAGGCAACGAACAACGCCGCCTCAACACCATCATCTCCACCGCCAACTCGTCTCGTTTCCACCTCAAATTCATCGCCGCCAACCTTGGTGCGTCTACAACTAAGCTTCGGGCCCTCCTCGGCATTGGAGCCACCGGTAACTTCATCACCAACGTGTGTGTCCGCAAAGTCGGTCTTACCTCTAACGGTTATGATTCCCCGATCACGATTCGCCTAGGGGATAAAGACACCGCCGTCGTAGTAGACCACACGGTTCCCAAGACCACCATGACCATCGGAACCCTCTATAGTCAGGTCTCGTTTGATGTCATGCACTTGATGTGCGACATCGTCTTAGGAACCTCGTGGCTGGACCGCTACATGCCATACGCATTCCACCCCAACTTCCTTTGCCTCACCAACCCCCCAAACCATCGACATCCCCTATCTCCCATATCCGACCTCCCAAGGCTCTGTCACCCCGCACCAATTCCTCCACATGGCTCGCCTAAACCCCGACTCCACCTACTACTGTCTTGTCCTTGATCGTGAACGTCCCGAGGACTTACTCCCGACGGACAAACCCGATCAAGCCCCCCCCTCCAACCCCGCCATCACCTCAATCCTCGACAAGTTCAAGGACGTCTTTCTTGAGTCCTTACCCGCCGGACTACCGCCGGATTGTGGCGTATCCCATACTATCGATCTGGAACCCGGACATTCTCCACCTTGCCGCCCTCCATACAAACTCTTTGTCCCCGAAGCCGAAGAAATGAAGCGGCAACTCAGTGAACTCCTTGAAAAAGGGTTCATTAAGCCAAGTTCATCCCCTTTCGGAACCAGCTGCCTTTTCGTCAAGAAAGGTGGCACTTCGGAACTCCGCATGTGCACAGACTACCGCGCCTTGAACCGGATCACGATCAAGAACAAGTACCCCCAGCCTCGGAATTCCGAGCGCCTTGATCGTCTCCGTGGAGCCAAGTACTTTACCAAGATCGACCTCCGCAGTGGCTTCCACCAGATCCGTATCCGAGAGGAGGACACCCACAAGACCGCCTTCCGTTCTGAGTTCTGGCACTACGAGTTCCTCCTGATGCCATTCGAACTCACCAATGCCCCCGCTACCTTCCAATCTACCATGAACCACATCTTTCACAACCCCCTCGAAGTCTGTGCCGGCGTCTACCTTGATGACATCCTTGTCTTCAGCCCCACCTTCGAGTCCCACCTTCAGCACGTCCGCATAGTCCTCTTGATCCTCCGAGAGCAAAAATTCTACGCCAAGCTCAACAAATGTACGTTTGCTGCTTCGAGCGTCGAATACCTCGACCACATTGTCTCCGCTGAAGACATCCGTATGGATCCCTCGAAGGTCACAACCCTCGTCGAATACCCCCCACCCAAGACCCTTCTCCAACTTCGTTCCTTTTTTGGCCTTGCCAACTACTATCGCCCCTCTTACCCCCTCCACGAACTCACACGCAAGGACGAGCCCTTCACTTGGAACGATAGCTGCCAGCACCTCTTCGATCTACTCAAACAAACCATCACCACGGCCCCCGTCCTCAAGGTCGTCGACCCCACCCGCCACTTATAAGTCACCATTGACGCCTTCGACTTCGCCATTGGAGCCGTACTGTCCCAACATTTCCCTCGTGACACAACCGACACGCCCTCCATCAAGAACTCCCCCACTCACCCCGAGGCTCCACCCGGCGAATACCCCATCGCCTTCACTAGCAAGAAGCTTCTTCTCGCGGGGATGAATTTCCCCTCCAACAAGAAGGAACTTCTCGCCGTGATCCACGCCCTCAAAGTCTGGCGTCCGTACCTCAACGGGCAATACTTCACCATCCACACTGACAACACCATCGTCTCCTCCATACTTTCCAAGAAAGACATCACGGCACGCCAAACCCGCTGGTTAGACTTCCTCGCCCAGTTCACATTCACTATTTGCCATACCCCCGGCAAAAGCAACCGCGTTGCTGATGCCCTCTCTCGCCGACCCGACCACAAGCCCCCCGAAGAAGTCTACGTCGCCATGACTCACATCCAGCTCCCCTATCACTTCATCATCGATACACCCAAGGCTCGCTCTCCTGCTCAGACTTCGCCACCATATACAACAAGCTCCGCGATCTTGACCCAGTTCTTGACTACTCCCTCGACAACAACTCCTCTACATCGATACCAAAGGCACTCGTCGACTTTGCATCCCCCACGCACGAGGCCTCCGTACTCAGCTCTTGGCCGAGCACCACGACGCCAAGACCGCAAGACATCTCGGGTTCCAGAAAACCTTTGACACCATCTCCCGCTACTTCTATTGGTCCTCCCTACTCGCCGACATCAAGGCATACATTCGCTCATGCCCCACTTGTCAAGCTGTTAATCCCTCGGACCAGACCAAACGCAGCAAGCTCCAATCATTGCCCATCCCTAATCACCGTTGGCAGTCCATCTCCATGGACTTCGTGTGCGGTCTTCCCAAGACCGACCGCGGGCATGATTGCATCTACCTCATTGTCTGCCGCTTGACCAAACGTGCCCACTTCATCCCTTGCACGACCTCGCATAGTGCCAAAAACGTCGCCACACTCTTCTTCGACCACGTTGCTCGCTATCACGGTCTCCCCGAGAACATCATCAGTGACCGTGATCCTCGCTTTCTCTCACAATTCTGGAAACACCTCTTCACGACCTACGGAACCACGCTCAAGTATAGCACTGCATTCCATCCACAGACCGATGGACAAACAAAGAAGATGAACAATACTCTCCAAAGAATCCTGCGGAAGTATTGTCATCCACACCAACACGATTGGGATCAATTGCTCACAGCCGCCGAGATTGCCTACAACAACGTCGTCTGCCCTTCCACTGGCATGTCTCCATTCTACCTCGACCTTGGCTACCACCCTCACTTGCCCTCTGACTTCTTGCTTCCTTCGTAGGTTAACTCATCCACCCCCTGCCCCTCTCTCAATGAATGGGTAGCAACAATGAACAGACTCCTGAGAGAAGCCTCCGAAGACATTGAACGAACCCAAGAACAACAAGCCAATAAGACTAACAAACATAGACGCAGCGTGTCATTCAAAGTAGGGGACAAAGTCAGGCTCTCCTCCAAACGCTTTGAGCCCGAACACGAATTGTCCAAGAAACTCTCCAACAAATGGCTCGGTCCCTTACCCATCATTGAACAAACCTCCCCTGTCAACTACAAACTCCAACTTCCCCCTGACATGAGTCGTGTCCACCTAGTCTTCCATGTCGAGTACCTAAAAGAATACCATGAATCCCCGCCCCAGTTCGCTGACTGCCCATATCCTAGACCTACACCAATCATGTTACCCACAGACCCTGAATTCATTGTCGAAACCATCATCGGTCGACGAACCACTCAGGTATCTGATCATTCGGAACCAATCACTGAATACAAAGTCAAATGGACCGAGTACCCCGACGAATAATTTACATGGGAACCTCCCTCTAATCTTAAGAACGCCATGAAACTTGTCCGTGCCTATGATCGTGCTAATCCTATGTCCTAGATGCCTATATAACTATGGCATAAACCCCCGCTAAACCCTCACAACCCTGCGCTACACACACCCTTGGACTTCTACCCGTTGCAGCCACCGAAGACCGCGTCCACCACCTACTCCAAAACCTGATCAAGACCGCTGCAGACCTCCTTTCAAGACACTTGGACACTTTGTTCCCACATGAGATGTTGCTTCTTCAGACACAACCAGCCCTTGCATCCTGAACAAACTTTTTTTTTTTTTTCTTCCCGACTTTGACAACCCCGTAGAACATCATTAGCAATTCCCTGTTCCCTGAACTTTGTTCCCCCTTAACCTATAGCAAACCATGCAGTCCCCTTAGTTCATCAATAGGACTACCCTACTCCCTGTTGTCCCTTCAGTTCATTTGTAGGACTACCCTGTTCCCTGCAACCCCCCCTAGTTCATCAGTAGGACAACCCTGCTCACCGGTACCAAACCCTGTTCCCTCTTACTTCCGCAGCCCATGCCACCCACATTATACCCCTCTTCCCTTTCGACTTGTTAACCAGTGATCGGCCCCGTCCCGTCCTTCACAGATTTCAGCATTGCTTTATGATTTTTGGCAGCCGGGACGTTGCCTTCTAGAGGGAGGGGATAGTGTTACGGACTTCGCCAGGGCTCGATCCCTGGTCTGCGGGACGCTACCCGCAGTTCACTGCACACATTTTCTTTTCTTTGTTTTCTTATTTTTATTTTTCTCTTTGTTTTATTTTTGTGATTTCAGACACTTGGCGCCATCCGGCATTCTGGCGCCCATTTTCAAACTTGTGACTTTCAGGTCAGCCCTGGGCAAATTGCACTTCTGCCCATCGGACTGAACTTGAGTCCGATATTTGAGATCGGACCCAAGCCCAGTACGGGCATTCAGTTTGCGGCCTCAGCATTGTGTTCGGAAATCCAAGACTTCGACTTTGCGACTTTGCCACTTCGTGTCTGCATCCGTCGAGTCGTGTCGAGTCTGTGTCGAGTTGAGTGAGTGTGTGTGTGTGCTCTCACTCTCTCCCTCTCTCTCCCAGCCTCGTTGCCTCAGCCCCGCCACACAAAGTCCTTAGTCTTCTCCGGCAGCACAAGTTCAAGATCAATGGGGAGAAATGCGAGTTTGGTCGCACCCGGATCTTGTACTTGGGTCATGAGATTTCCGCGGTGTCGGTGCAAATACCCTTACACGCCCTGGTATTTGCAAATGACAGAAAATAGAGTTGGTTTAGAAGTTTAAGTATGCTGCGCGAGGCGCGGCCGCGTCTGTGATTGACGTTTGACTGGATGGTTGAATAGAGTAGAGAGTGCGTGGGCGCACAGACTTGAGGAGTGCGTGATATCTTTTCCTTTTGATAATTGTGAAAACTGGCTTTGGTTGCTGGCCAGATTTTTATGTTTCTGACTAAACTAGGATTAAAAAGATTATGCCTCATTTGATTGATGCGCTTGCCTGTGACTTGTGCGTACGCACGGAGGGCGGCGTCGACAACAACTTGGTTCTGAAAATGGTTTGGTAGGTTTGCACTTTGCACAATATTCATTTATTTAGCTGCCCTGTAACGCGAAGCCCAAGCTTGGACCTAGCACTGTTGGTTTCGGTATCGGACTTTCGCCTAAGGGATTCAAGGGTCGAGGGCTAGGTGGGGCTACCCCCCTTGGTTTTGTCGTCGGCAGCGCCAGAGCAATACTCGCTTTTTCGTTCTCCTCGATCGTCATATTCTGACGGTTAAAGGTCGTGGTTATTAGTATTATTATTATTTATTGTTTTGCTCCGGTGCTCTTCGATTTAGGACGGGGCGCCAGGTTTAGAGGTCGCAGCGTCAGTCGAGGACCCTAACCAGACGTATCTTTCGTTTGACCTATGGGACTTGCGCATATTTGGGAAGCTAGCGGAGTTCCCCTATCCTGCCCGTGTTGGCCGAAGGGTGATCAACCATAACCTGCGGGAAAGAGGGCTTGGGCATGGGTGTGCCGCAGGAGCCCGAGGGATTGGCATGTTAAATTTGAGTAGAGCGAAGGTACAAAGGCAATGGCCGCAGCACTCGGAGTGCTGGTCAAACATACCCCCCCCCCCTCCTTGTATGCGGTGCGTAGTATGCCCTGGATACAAGGACTTCGTAGCTCTTAAGGCCGACGGACCGGTATCCAGGGCGCTGACCACATGGCTTACCCGTAGGACCCGACTCACCAAGGCTTATGCCCGAAGGACCACGACAGTTCGCTTTCTCGACGTCGGTGGAAGCAGGGGTCGTACTGGAGTACGGGCCATTCGCTGGACTTGGGAGTAGGGACGAAGAAAAGAAGCGGAATGACCATTCGTCAGGGCAATAGATACTGACGAACTGCTTATCGGAGTAGAGCCTAGTGGACAGAGCGGGCGGGTATCGGTCAGAAGTCGTGGCACTGCCCACAGTCGAGGTTGATAGCTTCGACGGGGGAGTTGATGAGACACTACTTAGCGGGCCTGACTACGAAAAACGCCGTCTTAATGGCTGTTTCCGGTCAGGGCGCATTTTTGCGGAGTCAGATTAGCGCACGTTTTGGCGTTGAGGAAGGAAGAAAGGCGGAGCATAGGAGGAAGTGAGTCCGACGCAGATTCACGTGCGATGAAAGCGATGCGAGATAGCGAGGACGTGAGAGACAGAGCCGGCGCGGTAGCAGAGGAGAGAGGATAGCGCAGCAAAAGCGCTATGAGAAAAGAAGGAGGCGCGCGAAGGCACGAATAAGGAGGGTGTACCTCGGCGCAAAATCGTGCCAAGCACATTCAAGATAAGGAGTGGAGATGGTGAAGGCAGGTTTGAGTCGGGAAAAGTAAAGGGGAGTGAAGCCCAACCGTTTCTGAATGAAATCGGGCAGAGGAAAGTGCTAAATGTGAGTCTTGAAGTAGGGCGGGTAGGATAGTGGAGTTAGATTTTCACTTACGATATAGGATTGGGCGGGAGGAGAGAAGGAACACCGAGAGGGAGTCGGATATGACGGAAGTGGATGTGCATAAGATGAAAAGTTTGTACCACGTCTGATTCTCGATGGATTTGGGCATAATAAGATCTAAAACGGGAGTTTTGAAGGTGAGCGAGTAGGATTGGGATGTTAGTTTGAGCAAAGGAGTGGTGAAGAGAGAAGTTAAGAGGGATAGGAGCTGCGCCAAGCTATGGCCGAGGGAGAGTTGGTGGGAGTGAAGATCACCTAGCCCACACACTTCTTGATGGAAAAGGGCGAACAAGGAGGCGTTTTGGAGGATTTAGGATGCTGCGATTAGATTGGTGGAGTTAGATTTGGCAGGGGAACGATATATTTTGTAGTACAGCAAGTATGGGCTGCACCCCGAGGA